TTTTTTTTTTCCCTTTTTGGTCTCAATGAATACGTCAAAGTCAAAGAAACTCTCACTGTATACAACTATATGCAAAACAAGCACTCATGCACAGCCAAGCCACTCAGTACAGTAAACGCATAGAACCACATACGACTTTTTACAAAAAAAAATTCCTGTTTAAAAAAGCCTACCACAAGAAGTAGTCTCGAGTGCAACGGTACTCACGAAGCAGTCATCAGGTGTCCCATTCCTTGTGCGATGACCGGTGGACTGGCAACAAGAACTCCCCTGTCATCACGTGGCTACCCCACTCCCCGGGCGGCTTCCCCACTCCCCGGGTGGGCGCTGGTCAGATGCGTCTAATGGTATGACGGGCAACAATGGCTGGAGTTAATGACATTTAGGATTGGATTTCTTGTGTGAATTCTTTTTTTTTTTTTTTTCTTTCTTTTTTTCTTTCTTTTGTTTTTTTTTGGTGGTGGTGGCAGCTTTTTTTTTGGAGTGGGGTAGGGGGGGGGGAAGAGTGGGGGGGATGGTGGGTGGGTAGGGGGTGGGGAGGGAGGGAGAGGATGGTGGTGGAGGGGTAGGGGTGGAGAGGGAGAGGATGGTGGGTGGGATGGAGTGGGGGTGGGTGGGAGAGGGAGAGGATGGTGGGTGGTAGGGGTAGGGGGGGGAGGGAGAGGATGGTGGGTGGGGGGAGGGAGAGGAAGTGTGTGTGTGGGGGTGTGTGGGGGGGGGGAGTTCATTCTTTGAATAGCTTTTGTTTGAGAAGCGTTTGAGTGAATTCGTTGTTCTGCTTGATGAGAATTGTTAGATTCTCTTTTTATATCTGCGTGTGGGGGGTGGGGGGTGGCGGGGAAGGGGAGAGGGGTTAGTAAGGGCAATAAACTTAACAGTTTGATTACACTCGATGGTGTGATTCCCATGCCCCAAAAAAAAAAAAAAAAAAAAACGTCAATCCATAGCTAACAATATACCACAAAATAAAACACAAACAACAGAAACCCGAACCAACCAAACGAGACACATACACTTCATAACCACACAAAGACACTTGCATCTACTCACCGCTCATTTTCCATTTCTACCGCGTATCTAATGAACAATTTCCCTCGTGCTTCTCGGGGAATTGTTCCAGATGACGCCGAGAGAGCTGCGTGGTTCCCTTGTGCGTGTGGGACCGTTGTTCCAGGCTGGGTAATGTGCGTTAATTGTGTAGGTTTGGTTACCGTCGTCAAGGCTGCCTGTGTGTAAGGATGGGTGAGTGTGTGTGTAAGAGGGAGGGGGTTTTGTGTGTGTGTGTGTGCTTATGTTTATGTTTATGTTTAAGTTTATGTTTAAGTGTGTGCTTATGTTTGTGTGAGTGTGTGTGCTTATGTTTATGTTTATGTTTATGTGTGTGTGCTTATGTTTATGTTTATGTGTGTGTGCTTATATGTTTATGTTTATGTTTATGTGTGTGTGCTTATGTTTATGTTTTATGTGTGTGGTGCTTATGTTTATGTTTGTTTATGTGTGTGTGCTTATGTTTATGTTTGTTTATGTGTGTGTGCTTATTTATGTTTATGTGTGTGCTTATGTTTATGTTGTGAGTGTTGTGCTTATGTTTATATTTGTTGTGTGTGGGCTTATGTTTATATTTATGTTTATGTGTGTGTGTGTGCGTGTGTTTTTCTATCTATTCATTCCTCATCTATGTATACGTGTAGATATTCCCCAATTCATTCATCTGTCACTATAGCAATTTTCTTTTTTTTGTTTGTTTGTTTGTTTCTGATCCTTAAACCAAACAGGATACCTTGATCTAAACCACTTTGAAGTCAAGAGATTTTTTTTACTATATATCTTTGTTCTGTAATGTATTAGTTTAATTGCTTACTCACCTACGTTCATAGTTCATACTACGATATGTCTATTGACACTTTTATTCCACCATAAAGGTATATATTTTGTTCTTTCAAAAGTAATTCGTGTACAGATACTGAGTTAATTATCCATATACTTGCTCAAATATTCTCAAGTTTTGTACCATTGAGAATCATTGATGTAAATCGATATAACTGAATATATATAAAAGAAAAATTATATATATATAGACAATATCTATATTTACATTTTTGTTTACATATTTCATCCGTTGCCAGAGTTGTCTTCATATATTTTTATATATATCAAAACGGCATAATGGTATAATTAGCTTCCATAAAAGAGATATAAGAAAATCGACCAAAGAGAAGATTACGTAATTACAGTCATAAGAAAAATGAATATTAAAGATACCTCCATCAGGCCTTTTGACATTTGTGGTCGAGGTTGAAAGTGTGACAGAAGATGTGTAATGAAATACATATAATTAGGTATATCTCTTGTCTTATTTTCTATCTGTCTTTGTCTGTCTGTTTGTGTATGTGTCTGTCTCTGTTTGATTGCCTCTCTTTCTTTCTTTCACTTTCTCTTTATCTTTCTCTTTCTCTTTCCATTTCCATTTATTGCTCTTTCTGCTCTCTATTTCTCTCGTTCTTTCTTTTTCTTTTTTCCACAATACATATGTATCTGTGGTAGTGTGTATGTGCGCGGCGTGCGTGTATGCGTGCGTGTGCGTGCGTATGCCTACCATAGAGACAAAAAAATAGATCAGTATGGATAGACAGATAGAGGTATAGATACTCCCATCCATGCATATGCGTCTGTCACTCTTTCCCTCACCACCGCTCCCCCCTCCCCCCTCCCTCCCCCCCTCCCCCGATGGAAAACATGGTGTCCACACTTACGAGTTTTTATCGGCACCTTCAAGAACCTTGGGGGAAGAACGTGCTAAGGAGCTCCCGGGTGTGTGACCAGCATAGCACTGAAGGTACTGTCGGCTGTTAACCCCTTTTATGCTTGTTGCTGTCGAGGTCAAGTGACGCGTGCAAAGTGTAGCATTTTAGGTTTGGGGGGGAGTATATTTTTGGATTTTGGATACCTTTGTTTTCTCTTCTCTCTCTCTCTCTCTCTCTCTCTCCTCTCTCTCTCTCTCTCTCTCTCTCTCTCTCTCTCTCTCTTCTCTCTCTCTCTCTTCTCTATCTATGTCTTTATTATTATTTTTTTTTCATTTTACTTTGATTTAAGTAGTTAATATATCTTTATTTTTTTTTCTTGTTCTTATTCTTTATTTATCTATTTTTATTTTGCTATTATTATTTTTATTATTTTTGCAAGGGGGTATTTCTGATTATTCTGAAAATGGTAGTAATTAATGTGTAAAATAATAAAAATAAATGTTGATTGTTCGGCATGACAGTATAAACTCTCTTTTATAATATATATGCTATTTCATAACATTCATAAATATTTTTGAAATCAATAATCCAATGTAGTTGATTTATCACATCACTGACATTTGATGGATGAACAGGTCAACAAAAACATCAATAAACATATTCCTTTATGTATATGATGCCTTTTGCACATTTTGGGACGAGTCTGTCTATGTCTCTTTTCATTCATAATTCCCTTGTTTACTATCATCAGGATTGTATTACGATAGCATCTCATTCGCCAAATCCGGATGAACATCAATCACTCGAAGTCAAAGTGGATGAAAGAGAGGTTAAGACTAATAGCAAAAGTCGATTATGTTTGTATATGCATTTATACGATTATATGCACACAAACAGATTCGAACATAGGGAGAGAAGGAGGGAGAGAGGGAGAGGGGAGAGGGAGAGAGGGAGAGGAGAGAGGGAGAGGAGAGGGGAAGAGAGAGAGAGAGAGGAGAGGGAGAGGGGAGAGGGAGAGGGAGAGGGAGAGGAGGAGGGGAGAGAAGGAGAGGGAGAGGGAGGAGATGGAGAGAGAAGAAGAGAAAGAGAAGAGAAAGAGAAGAGAAAGAAAAGAGAGAGAGAGAAAAAGAAAAGAGAGAAGGAGAAAAAGAAAAAGAAAAAGAAAGAAAGAGAGAGAGAGAGAGAGAAGAGAGAGAGGAGAGAGAGAGAGAGAAGAGAGAGAGAGAGAGAGAGAGAGGAGAGAGAGAGAGAGAGAGAGAGAGATCAGAGACGGATATAAAATAAAAAATAAAAATAAAAAATAGAATCCCGTATGCATATAAGCCACACACTCTCACACTCTCTCTCTCTCTTTCACGCACACGCACACGCACACACTCACATTATGCATAAATAGATAGACAGATAACATGTACCATCAATTCTACCTCATCCTCTCTAAGTGCTTCCTCTCTCTCAACCGGAAGAAACACACTACAATCATCACTTCAATGATCGTTATAAACAGCAATGAACAAGGCAACTGACAGCATGAACCGACCCAAAGCCACTATTGCAATCGCGTGCAACATTGCAATTTTCAGTCCTAAATATTCCTTTCTTGTTTTCCATTTGTCATTATAGTTGGTTGTTCTCTCTTTATACTTCTGTCTCTCTTTCTCTGTCTCTGTCTGTTTATTTTCTCTCTCTCTCTCATATAATGTATATATGTATATATTATATATATATATATATATATATATTATATATAATATATTATATAATATATATATATATATATATATATATATACAAACTTACCTGTTGCCGTTCCCCTGCCTTTCCCATCCTCTCCTTCTCTCCCATCTCTCTTGTTCCCCTCCTTCGTCTTTCAGTCCTAAATATCCCTTTATTGTTATTTCTCTTTGTCACTTCAGTTAGAAATATGTAAAAAAGGAGAAACGACTATCTATATTTTCTTTAACTATTTCCCTTCTTATCCTGATTTTCCTCTCCCTCCCCTCCCCCGTCTGTCTCTTCCACCCCTTATTCTCCTTCTCTCCTTGCCTTCTCTTTTCTTATGTCCTTCCATTCCCCCAGCTCTTGTTATCCCTCCTTCCTATTCTTCTTTGTCTTCTCTCTTGTTCTCTACCCCCCCCCCCAGCTGTCCTCCTCCTTGGGAACCCCTCCCCCTCCCCTCCCCTTGTCGCTTTCCACCACCCCTTCCTACCCTACCCCCTCCCCTTGTCGCTTCCCCCCTCCCTCTACCCCTATAGGACCCCCCCTCCCTTCTCCTCGTCGCCCTACCTCCTTTCCCCACCCCTCCCTCTACCCCTCTCACCCCCCTCCCTTCTTCTCGTCGACCCTCCCCCCCCCTGCCTCTGCTTCTGTCTCTCTCCCTCCCTCTTATAACTATTAACCCCCCTTCCATTACCTCCATTAATCTCCCTCCCTCCTCTACCTCCCCCCACCCCACCCCCTTGCATCTTCTCCTCGGACAGCTGTCGTGGCAAGAATCCGTTACGTCTTTTCCTTCGCCTTAATCCTACCCAGAAAATCCCCCCTCCTTCCCTGCCCCCTTCACCCCCCCCCCATTAATCCGGAAATTATATCCTTCCCTACAAAAAAATCCACCCCCCCCAAAAAAAAAAAAAAAAACGCTTCTAATTTTTTTTTTTTTTTTTTAAGAGAAAAATCCATTCTTTCGGAAAAAATTTAATATAAATGAGCTTATTATCTCTTCGGGAAAGTCCGTTATCTCTCGTGTTCGGTATAAAGGGTTCCACTCGGAGGAGAAGGAATTTCCCGGTCCTGAACACATGGGGTTCGACGGGGGTTCCTTTCTTTCGGTTTCATTATCGGGATCGGGAAGCAGCAAGGCGGGCGAACGGGAGCTGGAGGGGGTGGGGGGTGGGGGGGCATCAGGGGCAAGGGCGGGGAAAGCTGGAGAGGGGAGGGGTGGGGGAGGGGAGGGGGTCGAGCCAGAGGGGGGTGGTCGCTTTTCCTTTCTCTCTCGTTCCCTTCTTCTTTCTCTCTCCCTTTGTCTTTCTCCCCCCCCGTCTGTTTCTTCTTTCCCTCCGTCTTTTTTTTTTCTCTCTCTATTCTTTCTTGCTCTTTCTGTTCTCTTCTCTATTTCTTTCTTTCTCTAATTCTCTCTTCTCTTTTTTCTCTCTCTCTCTCTCTCATTCTCCCTCTTTCCTCTCTCTCTCCCTCCCTCCCCCCTTTCTCTATCCCTCCCAATTATCATAAATCTTTAATATCAACTTTCATAAGCATGAGAACTAACAAACTTACAATATTCTAAAAAACCCCAATGGATGTTTAAAAAAAAACACGATATTTTCACTGGGAATATTTATTTTACAAAAAAAAAAAATCACAGAAAGGAAAATTAAAAAAAGACTAGAACAAAAAAAACAAATAAAACAAGAGAAAAGACCTAGAAGAATGTATTATAAAACTGTGCAGACTAATGTATGTACAGTGATGTTGTTCTGATCCTATGGAATCTAAGATTAAGTAGCACTATATTGTACTGATCTCAGAGGAACACTGAGTTTTAGACGAACTGTACACGAACTGTCCATAAATCTGGCAAAAAATACTCTTACATAAACTCGTAAACTAGTTGTGTTTATACAATATGTAAGACTATGTAAATACAATAAATTTCTCTCTTTTATCATATCGAACTGTACACGGGGTCGGTATTGAAATTATTGTTCTCCAGAGTTCTGTCGCGTAGAAAATGGGGAACTGGTGTTGCGAGTCTTAAAGCCAGGAATCCATTTCATTTTTTTCTCACTTTTTTTTTTACATTAATTATGGGACGTCTCGCCTTTTTTCTTTTCTCTCTCCATTGATGTTAGGCCGATTTTTTTTCCATTTTCTTTCCCATTTTCTGTGCTCGGCCTAACGGGTAACTATTACATTATTTTCTGTTGCACTGCATTATTTTTTTTTCCACAGACTGCAAGAGGATTTTCTCCGCAATAGTCCGCTGAGGCGACGGAGACCGGCTGTCCTGTACCTTTCACCAAACACAGGAAGAAAAGGTCGTCTATTTCCACAATCGACCTTTTAAAATTTTCTCGTGTCATGCGTCGATTTCCATATGTCTGTCTGCCTTGCACTTTTTTTTCTCCACTTGAAATATTTAAAAAAAAGAGCACATTAAAACACAAATCATAATTCCTCACATCAACTCGTTCCGAAACTTTCATTTCAAACGGAAAATAAGAAGAAGTTCCCTTTAAAGCTATAAAAAAGAAATTTATGTACACTGCATAAATAGAGGCACTTTCCCGAGCTCCTTCCGGGAATCATCGGCACAATATAACCGCGTATATTACACATTAGCAGTTCCGTTAAAAAATAAACTTCTTTTAAAAATGCGATTCACAAGAGGGCGTTGCTTCAAAACCCGTACACAGAGAACCCGACTATCTCGAGTCGATCACAGGAAGTTTTAAAAAGTTCACACAGAGACGTTATTATTATTATCAGCATCATTATCATTATTATTAATTAAGAAGTCACTCTCACTTCCTTTCCTGTCATTTTCACTTTCATTTCGCGACAGAAATAACGTTTACGGCAGGCGAATCTGCACAACGTTCTCTCCTCCGGCCGCTCGCTTCCTCCGCGTTTTTTCTGGCCTCAAATGTCCACTTTCTTGCGCGTGGTGGAGGGGAGTGGTGGTGGTGGAGGGGGTGTGGTGTGTGGTGTGGGTGGGGTGGTGGGGGTTGGGGGTGGGAGTCGAGCGCGAGTCGGGTCACGCCTTCGCCCGACCCGCCCGACGCGAGCCGACCCGATGCCCGACGTCGCTGAGGAGGAGACGTCCCTCTCTTGGGCCTTCACTCCATCTTGTCCAGCTCGTCGCAGGACTTCGACTTGGAAGCTCTGAACGCGAGAGAGAAAGAAACAAGGGAGTGTGGTTTTATGATCCATGCAGTGTGTTTTATTCCATTTTATCTTTATGAGTGTGGTTTTATGAATCCATTTTATCCTAATGTATGATGATGAGTGTTGGTTTTGTGAATCCATTTTATCTAAAAAAGTATGAGAGTGGTTTTATGAATCTTAATCTTATTATTCACCTATCATCTCTCTTTATCATAAATATATAAATCCCACCTATCCACCTCTTTCTAACAATAATCAAATACTCTCTCAATATACTAGAAGTTATAAAATAAACAAACACAAACATTCAACCAAGCAACCACACAAAAAAAAAAAAAAAAAAAAAAAAAAAAAAATCCCCATAAACAAGACAAGACTATGCAAAATACCCCCCCCCTGCCCCCCCCCCCCCAACTCTACCAAACCAACCAACCAACCCCCGCCCCCCCAAACAAAGATTCCACCCAATTAAACATCGCTAACATCCCCCCCCAGCTCCTTCAGGACACCAGAGGAAGGCGTCGGGGACCCATAGCGCCCACACGTCCTTCCTCCCGCGGCTCTAATTAGGAATATATCCTCTTCTCTATCATCCTCATAATTCTGGCTGACTGGACTTCACGCGCACTTCGGTTCGGTGGGAAGGATCTGCTGCTGAGAGGGTGAGAGGGGGAGAGGGGGAGAAGGCGGGGGTGAGGGGAGGGTTGGTGGGGGAGAGGGCGGGGGTGAGGGAGGGTTGAGGTGAGGGGGGGGGGGGAGGGAGGAGTGGAGGAGGAGGGTCCGGGGTGAGGGGAGGGAGGGAGGGAGGGAGGAGGGTGAGGGGATCTGAGGGTGAGGGGAGGGCGGGCGGGGTTAAGCCCTTGGGGAGACGTGGACTCGCCGCTCTCCTCGTTAACTCACTTTCGTATCACTTTCTTAATTACCTCACTCTCTCTCTTTCACCACTCTCCCTTTCACCCTTTTCACCTTCTCCTTCCCCGCCTTACGATCTACAATAACCCTTCCTCCCCCTCACCCCTCCTATTACCCGTACTTCCCATCCCCCTACCCCTCCCTAGCGACCTGCAATAACCCTTCCCCTTTCCCCTCCCCCCTATGACTTACGATAACCATCCCCCCTACGACCTGCAATAACCCTTCCCCCCCATACCCCTCGATGACCTACAACGACCTCTCCCCTCTCACCTGCCGCTGCTCGACGTCCTCCGCCGACGTGCATGATGACCTTGCCGGCCCGGATGGACTTGAAGACGGCGATGGCCTCGGCGTGACTCAGACCCGACAGCGACTCGCCATTCACGGCCAGGATCTCGTCGCCTGCGGGAGGACAAGGAAGGAGATGAAGGGGGCGCTCGGTTGAGTATATGGAACGCGGATAAAGGAGGTGGAAGGAGAGAAAGGTGTTATTGGGGGGAGAGGAAGGGGGAGGTGGGGAGAGGAGGGAAGGGAGAGAAGGAAGGGGAAGGGGAGGGAAGGAAAGGGGAAGGAAGGGGAGAAGCGAGAAGAGGGAAGGTAGGAAATGGATAAAGAAGTAGATGGGAAGGAAGTGATGATGTGAGGGGGGGAGAAAGAAGAAAAAGAAAGGGGAGAGGGGAAGGGGAAGAGCGGAGAAAGAAGGAAGGAATGGAAGGAAGAAGAAGAAATAAAGGAAGCGGGGAGTAGACGAAACAGAACAAAGCGTGGATAGGAGACGGTGGCAGATGACGACGTAGAAGGAGGAGAGAAGGACGAGAGGAGGAAGTAGAAGAGGGGAGAGGGTGTGAAGGGTGGAGTAGACAAGAACGGAATAACAGTGGATGGTGGGAGGTGATGAATAGAAGAAGAAGGGGAAGAGAGGAGAAGAGAGAACGAAGAGCAAAAGAAAGAAGAAGAAAATATATATTAGCTTTAAAACAGGGAAGACAATAAAGGAATTTACAAAAAAAATATATGAATGCTCGAGTAACTTCATAAAAATAATATGAAATAAATGTAACACAAGAAGATGAAACAACAATAACATCCGAACTGTGAAGCTCACAATACATTACATTACAACAGCTGCAAAGAATGGTATTACACATTATGGACAGACCGTTACACAACACCACACACACGCACGCAACACACACACCACACACACACACACAACACACACACACGCACACACACACACACACACACACACACCGCACGCACACACACACACACACCACACACACACGCACGCACGCACGCACACACACACACCATTAACACAGGATCCAAAACGCGCAAATTAATAAATGATAGATGGGTAATCAAGATAGATAGACAAAATAAATCAATAATGTAAACAACACCAAAAAGGAGGAAGAAAAATATCTCCATCTCGTCCTTTGTCCCTCTACCTCCCCTCCCCTCCCCTCCCCTCCCTCCCTCCACCCCACCCCTCCCACCCCTCCTCCCCCACCCCACCCATCCCACCCCTCCTCCCCTCCCACAGGCTGCCGACGAAGGGAAACGGGAACTTCCGCTGCGGGCGGTCTCCACACACCCGCAGGAGACGCACGACGCCCACGCCGAATAAAATATTGCAGCTCAGGAAGCACATCCCTCCCCTCCCCCCACCCCCACCCCCCACGCCCACACCGCCCATGACACAGCGGGAGAACAAACACGGTTTTTTTTTTCTCGCTCTCTTTTTTCAGCATTTACTCGCCTGTGAACAAGGTGTAAAAGAAAAAGAAAAGAAAAAAAAGAGAACAATAAATAAGTAAAGAAAAAGTTGAGGCAAAAAGTTATTCACTCTGGCAGGAAGCGTGCAGAGGGAGGGAGGGAGGGAGGAGGGAGAGAGGGAGGGAGAGAGGGAGGGAGGGAGGAGAGAGGAAGAGGACGGGAGGAGGGAGGGACGGAGAGAGAGAGAGAGTAACAGAAGAGAGCAGAGAAGAAAGACGAGACGACATGAAGAGAGAGAGGGAGAAAGAGACAGGGTGATGAGGAAGAGAGAGATGAGAGGGGGAATGAGAGGAGGAGGGAGGAGGTAGGGAGGTGAGAGAGGGAGGACGAGAGAGAGGAGGGAGGAGAAGGGAATGCGGAGGAGGGAGGAGAGAGGAGGGAAGAGGGAGGCAGAGGGAGGGAGGGAGAGGGAGGTACGAGAGAGAGAGAGAGGAGAGAGAGAGAGAGACGAGAGAGAGAGAGGAGACGAAGAGAGAGAGAGAGAGAGAGAGAGAGAGAGAGAGAGAGGAGAGGAGCTAAGGAGAGAGAGGGAGAGAGGAGGGAGGGAGGGAAGGAGGGAGAGAGGGAGGGAGGAGAGAGAGAGAGAGAAGAGAGAGAAGAAGATGAGAGAGGAGAGAAGAGAAGAGAGAGAGAGAGAAGAGAGAGAAGAGAGAGAGAGAGAGAGAGAGAGAGAGAGTACCGAGCGAAGAGAAATAAAAAAAAAAAAAAAAAAAAAAAAAATCCCGGCACACAAAATTATAAGTAAAACACGATGCATGCGGAATGCGAAGCCGGAATACGAAGAAAAGGTCCAGCCATTTCGAAATAGCAATGGCCTTCGCTGGGATGACTTAGATGCTTCACTTGACAGGATGATGTTACGACCATAGGATGATTAGATGATGACTTCACTTGACATGATGACTTACGACTAGATGACTTAAGATGACTCACTGACATGATGACTTAGATGACTCGAGATGATGGCATGAATTAGATGACTTCACTTGAGATGATGACTTCCGACCATGGGATGACTTAAATGATGACTTCACTTGCCATGATGACTTAGACGATGACCTCACTTGACACGATGACTTCCGACCATGGGATGACTTAGATGACATCCCCGCCCACCGTGACTTCTCGCCCACAGGACAAAAGGAGTTTCAGGGGAGCGAACGGCTTAATTATTTTTCCCGCGGTCCACAGGGGCAGACAGTGGCACATCCGTGGCCGCAAGGACGTCTAGGCCTATCGGGAGTGAGGGAATTCCGCCCTTCCGAACCCCTCCAATTGTATAATGCTGCCTTCGGGGACGAACGAATCGACGGTATAAATAAAAAGAAAAGAAAAAAAAAAAAAAAGAAAATCCTTCAATCTTTTTTTTTTATCTCCCTCTCCTTCCTTTTCTTTCTTCTCCTCCTTCCCCTCCCTCTTCCTCCTTTTTGTTGTGTGTGTGTGTGTGTGTGTGTGTGTGTGTGTGTGTGGTATGTTGTGTGTGTGTGTGTGTGTGTGTGTGTGTGTGTGTGTGTGTGTGTGTGTACAAGCATATATATTTTTTATCATTTTCCTTATAAAGACATTTCATATCAAACAGCCAACAGCAGGTCACGACAAGCATATGCGAATGCTACCAAACGCAACAGATTCCACATTTTATTCCTATATCACACCGTTTCACATTAAAAAAAAAACTAAAATCACACCTTCGTGCGGTATTTTCCTCGTCTAAAACCTTTAATTTACTTCTTTTCCCCAGACTGTTCCCCAGCACGACGAGACACAGGTCGCGAAAATAATAAATCAAACTAATACTCTAACCAGCCCGTGAGAGAGAGAGAGAGAGAGGGGGGGGGGGAGAAGGGAGAGGGAGGGAGAGGAGGGGAGAGGGGGAGAGGAGGGGGACGAGGAAGAGAGGGAGAGAGAGAGAGAGAGAGAGAGAGAGAGAGAGAGAGAGAGAAGAGAGAGAGGAGAGAGAGAGAGAGGACGAGAGAGAAGAGAGAGAGAGAGAGAGAGAGAATGAGAGAGAGAGACAGAGAGAAGAAGAGGAGAGAGAGAGAGAGGGAGAGAGAAGAGAGAGAGAGAGAGAGAGAGAGAGAGAGAGAGAGAGAGAGAGGAGAGAAGAGAGAGAGAAGAGAGAGGAGAAGAGAGAGAGAGAGGAGAGAGAAGAGAAGAAGAGAGATAGACAGAGCAGAGATAGAGAGGGAGATGGAGAGGGAGAGATGGAGAGAGGAGAGAGGTGATGAGGTGTGAGGAGGAGGAAGAGGATTAGGCCCTCTGCCCGAGAGCCCCGCCGTCCCTCCCTCGCTCACTCTCTTCGAGGCATTCAATTCTCTCGGCCAATACAACCCCCCCAACTCAACCGACGCTCGGCCGACGGCGCCCACCCGAGGGAAACAGAAGCAGCGCGACGGGCGTGTCGTCTGGGAAAGGGGGGGGGGGCGGAGAGGGGCGTGTCGTCTGGGAAGGGGGGGGGGGGCGAGAGAGGGGCGTGTCGTCTGGGAAGGGGGGGGGGCGAGGGACGGGCGGGGAGGCGCAGAGAAGAGGAATACGCGCTTTGTGAAACAGGACTTGTAGAACAAGTTTTAGCGTGAAGGAGTGGCTGAAGAGGGGAATGGCGGGGGGGGGGGGGGGGGGAGGTATCGTTAATTTGAAAAAAGGGAGCCAGGGAACCGAATCACACTCGAGATTCGAAATCCCCACTGAGCCAGATCCCATCGCCTTATCGAACCCGCCCCACGAGTCGCTCCTACGAGTCCCAGGCGAGCGAGCGAGCGAGCGGGGGTCCCTTGGAATCGCCCCGAGACGAAAGAAGGGGTCGAATCACCTGCGAACGAATCACCAGCGAGTCGAATCACCTATGAGTGAATCACCCACGAGTCGAATCACCTACGTACGAATCACCAGCGAGTCGAATCACCTATGAGTGAATCACCCACGAGTCGAATCGTGTCGTGTCCCACAGGAAGGGGAGGAGACGAGCAAGGCGAACAGTGCAGAGGAAACAGCCACAGCAACGACGACAGCAAACAGCAAACAACAGCAGCAACCCGAGGCACAGAAGCCCCCCCCCCCCTCCCGACCCCGCCCCCGCCCCCCACAAAGGGCCACGCAACCCAGCGCCGCCGTAAATATTAAAAACCAAATTCCTCGCCCGCCAAGTATCTCGCGGTCCTTCGGCAACCCCGCCCCCCCCTCCCGCCCCCCTACGGCCGCCCCGACGACGGAAACGGCGCGTCAACCTCTGTGCTCCGGGGGGCGGCCATTATGTCAGCCGATTACGGGGCTACTCCGGGCGACACAAAACACGCGGCGACGAACTGTACCGCGACCGCAACCGAAGAGCTCCGAAAGGAAAGGAAAAAAAATAATAATAAAATAAAAAAATAAAAAATAAATAAAAATAAAATAAAAAATTAATAATAATAAAAAAAAAAGGAATTCGGAAGGTAAGGGATTGGGCGAAAGATGAAAAATGGACGATGTCAGAGACGGCGCGACAGAGAAAAAAAAGGGGGGGGGGGGGGGAATGACAGAAAAGGAAAACGGAAAAATGAATGAACAGAACGCGGGGTGGGGTGGGGGGTTGCCAAGTCGTGCAAAACGGTATATTTGCGAAGATGCACAAAGGGAACAGA